GGTCTTTTTTTTTTATAATTTACAATGTGTCAATAAGTTTAAATCTCCTTGGTACGGTGGGGCGTCCCAATCTTGTTCATCAACATAGAGTGGTGGGGCGTCCCAATCATCATCAGCGTAGAGTGGTTGAGGCGGCTCAGGCTGCCGGCGGGCTTGTTCGTCGTCCCAATCATCATTCCAGGTAGCGGTTATTGGGACGCACTGTTGGGCCTGCTCGTTGGATTAGGACGCCGGCTTGTCTTTTTCTTCGATTTGGACGCTCTGCTTGGCCGGCTCGTCATCCCAATCATCATTCCAGGTAGCGGTTATTGGGACGCACTGCTTGGCCGGCTTAGGCTGCCGGCGGGCTGGCTCGTCTTTTTCTCCGATTTGGACGCACTGCTTAGGCGGCTCGTCGTCCCAATCATCATTCCAGGTAGCGGTTATTGGGACGCACTGCTTGGCCGGCTTAGGCTCGTCTTTTTCTCCGATTTGGACGCACTGCTTAGGCGGCTCAGGCTGCCGGCGGGCTGGCTCGTCGTCCCAATCATCATTCCAGGTGGCGGTTATTGGGACGCACTGTTGGGCCTGCTCGTTGGATTGGGACGCCGGCTCGTTGGATTGGACGCGGCCGTTGAGGTTTCTGCGACGCCTGGATTTCTTTGCTGGAGCTGGTTCGGCTGGCGGCACTAGCCAGCACACCGCAACGGCCCACCCTTTTGGTATGGCCCAACTTGGGGGCCAGATCGGAACACTAGCTTGACTTTGATTTTGCATCTTGATAGTTGTTATGGAGAGTTCGTTCAAGTTGAAACTGATGCTTTTCACCAAACATCGCCTGCTTTTATACAGATCGCGCATGGGAATATCAAATGGGTGGGGAATGTGGGTATACCACTATAAGTAATTTGATATGTATAGATTCCAAGAAAAGTGTTTGAGTCAACAAAATAATAACGCTGGGATGGCAGAGGTGTTTATGTTTAGTAGGAAATTTGCTATCGAAACCATGATAATGCCTCCTCAGCCCACAGAAAAAAAAATTGTTGATATTTTGATAGGTTGTTTTCACCGCCCCAGTTATATCTTGACTAATATTATTCACCAGTGCGTGGATATCGAGTGTGGGGTTAATCGTGATAGGGTACAGGTATCTTCGTTGAGAACCTGGCTTCAAAAAAAAACTTGTTTTGTTATTCGTTCCTGATAAGATGAACGTGAAAATTGCAGAGTTTTCGATGGACTTTGTGAAAAAAACAGATCTGACGGGAACTATATACTTGGAAAACCTTTTTCTGTGGTACATATTAAGGCGACACGTTAATCTAGACACAAAAGAGGGTTTAGCTTTCCTACCGTCGCTCTACAGGGGCATGATGACTAGCGATTCCATAATTTTGCCAAAAGAGCTAGACGTAAATCAAAGCGATCGCTATTTTATGCGCGTGCTAGCTGCAAATAGTTGGAACGATACCTTTGGTACCCCGTATCAATTTAACTTTGGGCCTTGTTGTAAATATGCCTTGATGTGCGATTTTCCCCGAAAACTCTCCGTCGAATTTCGACCGGTGCCACATTTCCGTTTCAAATCGGATTTCTATTACATGGAAAAATTCCGATCGCAGGATCTCAATAGGTATAGATTTAAGTCTACGGTATTACCTATACCTTGGACGGGTTTAAAGTCGGGAGAATATAAAATGATCGATGGATCGAAAAACATTGATCCGATTTACCCACCAACTTGGTCCGTGCTCAAATTGTTGTTTATAGATCACGAAAAAGAAACGCTTCTGTATATTGTGGGAAATGAAGGTTTATGGCTAAGTAAACGGTCATCCCTATCATTACCCGGATTAGTCATGGAAATTGATAGTATATGCCGTAACCGAATCAAAGCAAGAACGGGTCTGGGAGAAACATGGCTTTTCGAAGTTAACGAAACCGACGTATCTACCTGCGACAACATCATTTCAACTAAAGTAGAAAATGGTAAATGCTTTATTACGGTAAAAAAGGCACGCAACCAAAAAATAACATCTTGCCATTTGAAGTACAATGCCGACAACCGTTCGCAGATTTTGTTTTCCTATCAAGATGGTATTGCTACCATTGATGGTTTCCAATTTTCCTGGTGATGTATTTGCGTAAACTATTATGCGTGGCTTGTGCTTCCACTGCTGGCTGCTCCATCTACAAGTGGCATCGTAGCGATGATGTTTTCATCGTCCGTCTCGATATCATCATCAAACTCGGGTAAAGAATCGCCATCATTACTTGATGCATGATTTTGTTCAACGGGCTCTCGTTCCAAACGTAAACGTTTTTCGGCAGGTTGATCACCACGTATTTCGGCTTCCCAGACAGAGTGATTTTCCGTTTCGATAGTCGGTTCTGTTTCAGGTAGATTGGATAGAATTTCGTCTGCGGCTTCTGGAAACTCTTCTGTCAATATGTTTTGTAAAAAGCTGTGTTGCATTTGCGATGTTGAAATGCTTGGTTCACTCAAAGAGGAAATCATGTCATTAAGGTCGCGTGAAATTTGCGTTTTCATGTTGTCATTTAGTTCGCATTTACTATGTGAAACGTCATCGGTACAATACATTTTAACGGTTTCTATTAGGAACGCAACTATTGGATTTATGGGCGAATATACGTATTTCCGAGATTGCGTTTGACGATTGAAGTAGGCTACATAATTGTCCAACATTTCTTCGGTAGGTCTTTGGGGTATTTTAAGAAGCGCTAGAGCCGTAAACGATTTAGCGTATATGGATTTAGCCATTTTCAATATGAATATCGCCGAATAATGAAACTCGGCCGCTTTTTGATATTCCCGAATTAAGCAGTAGGCCGTATCGCGCATTTTGTCATGTTCCAGCATCCGGCTTAGGATGAATACGGTTGAACTTGAGAGAATTGGCGTAACTTGAAGCCATACTTTCTGCTGGCTGCGACGAATAAATTCTAATAAGGTTATAGAGACAACCATGTCGACGTTCTTAATAATGGCAATATTCAAAACGTGCTCATTAATACTGGGATTTTTCTGTTTATACTGGCTGTCAACGCTTGACCTAAATTTTCCACAAGAAACGCTTACCCGTTACCAGAATACAAATTTCTATTCCAACTACCCACCAGATAGTATAGTTGAGAAATTTATCGATTGCGATGTAACGGAAATGATTGAATGTGATGTTAATAATCAAATGGCCTGTTTATCTTGTAAGCAATTGAACGCTTCCTGTATTCATTTCGAACGAGATATGACTCTCAGCCTCACCAGAGATAAAAGTGTCGTTACATTAAAAGCGAGCCGTGACGCTGCTAAAGGCTATTGCATAAAAAGTACACGGAAAAGGAAATGCAACCCTCTAACAGGAAACTGGGTCTTGTTCGAAACTGATCCGGAAACGGAGACTATGGGATGGATATGCAAGTGTACGTATCCAAATCTCGTTACCCAAATCAATTTAGCCAGAGTCCAAGACAAAAGGACCGCGCATATTACATTTTGCTAAGCTATCTGATCTGAATATCGGAACCATTGAAGGCTGTTCCATAAACGAGTTGTACGCTTTGCGTTACCGCTTTCCAGAGATGTTCCTCTGTACTACAAACATTTTCTTTCCACATAAACATTTCGGTTTCGGTTTAGTGCGCTACGGTAGCCAATTGCTTTATTGCACGCATCCACGTGAAGATCCGTTTATTTGCACGCAACTCAGTTTGCGCGACAAAACTAAATATGTTCGCGTAAATTTTATCGCTGAGCAACCGATTTTAAATTTTCCTCTCTTTGAAGCGGCCCTCGTTCAAGATCAATTTAGCGAAATCAATTTCAACGATACGTACTATGAAAATAAAAAAGATTTGCCCGCTGTCGCCAAATACGACATCGAGGATATTTACAAGTATATCGTCAGACACCGCAAAGCGTTTATGATGGTGAAAAGTATTGGTTTCGATGGTAAAGTGCCGTTTCCACCAAAAATCCAACATGACTGTTTTAAAGCAAAATTGTTCTTTGTCGACGGTGATGAGAGTTTGCCACGAGAGGCTTACTACTACGGGACTGAAAAAATGATGAAAGGACCATTGCCAATGTGTCTTACTGTAAAACAAAGCATACAAATTCAGTTATCGCCGCCGGATATACACATAACGGAAATCATTAAGCGGCACGTATTTCTTTTCGATAGTTACTTGGCTTTTAGCATTTTACCAACCTGTTTCGTCGGTAATGTTGGCCAAATCGTGGACGGACGGTGTTAAATATAAATTGATTGATGAACGAAATCCCCCTAGGCAAATCAAGAGACTGAAAAATAAAAGCGGACAGGTTTTCTATGTCTGGAAAGGAACTAGTTTAGTCCTACCGACGAAAGAAAGTTTAGCTGTACCAGAAGAACTGTTTCACATATTTAACAATATCCGTTGTAAGCTGGCTACTGCTGACGATTAGATTTTTTTCTAAAGCCTGATGAAACTGTCCTCATTATCAGAGCGTTCTTCGCAAGGGTCTGCATTAATGCCGCATGTTAAATTCGCTGAATTCGGTGCGTCGTACCATGTCAACGTGCCGTTGTTGGTTATTGGATTATTTTTTTCAGCGTTGATTGCATTGGTTCGGAAGCATCCGTTATCTAAAGGCCCGCTTAGAGTATGATAGGGCCTAATATATTTGAAATAGAAATCGTCCAACAGGCCAAGGAGAATGGAAGGATTCGAATTGGCACAAATTTTAATGTCCGCTTTAAAATCGACGTTGTCACTCTCGTACGTACTAACAAAAATTAGGTTTCGTACGTCAAGTTTAGGTTTAATGAATATTGAATCAAATGCGCCGAGCGGCGAATCGGACACAAGAAACATCAATTCACGTTTCTCAGCGTATTCTTGCAACAGATTAACGCTACCGCTTTGCCGTTTCACCATTGCGTCGATAATTAATGCCGTGTCTCGCATCCTTAGCTATATATAAACGAACGAAACGCTGACCATTAGAACAAACAAGAATGTCAGAAACTATTGAAGCTCAAGCCGTCGATGCCGTCGATGTACCGGCCCAGTTCAGCGGTCTGCAGCCGAAAGCAAAAGTTGTAAGCACACCACCGCCAACGCTCGCTAAACTAATGGCTAGTTTACAACGTCATTTAATGGATGATAATATTGACATTTCACCCGAAATGCAGGAGAGTATTCGCAGGTTCACTACCATCAAACCAAAAGTGAAGGCCGAAACTAGCACAAACCAGGGAAAACACGCCGCCGTTGTATACAAGGAAGTGACTGTTGAAGAAATGAATGCTGTCAAGAAGTCTGGGTTGGATGCCTCTCTGGAGGATTTAATTTCCTGTGTACGACAGAAGGCCAAATTTCTCTACGATAATGAGTACATGATGACCATGTTGGATTTCATCTTAAAATTCAACTCGTTCACGCCCAGCGGTGGTTTGAAGGCGGAGGGCGATAGCGGCATAACCTGTCGCGACTTCACTTACGAGACGAACTTGATGAGTCAAGAACTCAAAATTAAAATGAGGAAGAGAAAACCACCGTTCTTGTGGATCATGATACATGTCGTATGGGAACTGACGCGCTCAACCGATGAAATTATCGATTTTATTAATGGTAAATCGATTTGGAACAAGATTGAATCGTTGGTGAATAGCCAACTCATTCGTAAGCCCGAAGACGCCGTGGAAGTGAACCGTTTTGATGGTCGGTTTAGTCGACGAAATTTGAAAATTGTTCTGGCCAAGAACAAAATTGAGCAAGTTATTCGTCTTTCTGATTTGGAAAGGTCCCTTCCCAAAATTACGAAACGTACACGTGAGGAGGGTGACGAGGGTATAGCTCTATTTGCGTCCGTAAAACGTTCGAGGGGTGACAAACAAGAAGAGGAGGATATTAAATTGATGGACATTACCAGTACCGGATATAAACCCTATCTGGGTAATAAAGATCCAACAAAGGATACTATCGATAGCTCTAACGGTAGTAGTATTATATTGTGCAGTCCTCGTAATAGATTTTACGTGGAAAAAACCAGATCGCAAAAGTTAGATGAAACCAAGCAATTGATGAAGGATTTATTTGATGAACATGAAACGGAAAATGTCGACGAAGATAGCGACCAGCGGAATAGTCAAAAACGGTACGAAGACGAAGACAAAGATTCCGACGAAGATGAGGACGACGAACCAAATGGCGATGATGATTATTGAAAAAAATAAACGTTGTTTTTGATATATCATTGCTTTTTATTTACACCCAGGTATTAGTTTAAGTATTGGTCACAGCTATTATCGTCGTTGGGCATATGAAGTAGTTGATTGTATTTAAACCATAACCATTCAGCACGGGTGAAATTCCATCCGCACCATACCACATAAAGATTGTCATGACCAATAAAAATAATTGGCCTATTGTCCTCATCAGAATCTTCAGAAAGGTCTAGCATTTTGTCTTATGGTCAAAAATTCACCGATACAATATGTCTGCTATTAAACCTCTCAAGCTACTTGTTGGACCAACTATTTGCAAGAAGCACGTCTCACAGGTCTTTTATTGAAGGAGGTAATACCATTGAAACTACATAAACTATTGTACGATTTAGGTGTACTTGTATTTTTATTGACAACTTTCACCGATTCAATATATCTGCTATTAAACCTCTCAAGCTACTTCGACCAACTATTTGCAACAAGCACGTCTTACAGTAATGCCTTTTATTAAAGGAGGTAATACCATTAAAACTACATGAACTATTGTAACATTTAGGTGTACTTGTATTTTTATTGACAACATTCAAGACTACAGATAAATTCGCATGGCCGTCGTCTTTCGGTGACGGCATGTAAAACAATCCTTACTTTTACTTTCACATATTAAACAGACAACATGGCCACATGGAATGAAAGCATACATGGTGTCCGTTAGGGCTGAACATATTGGACATTCGTGCAGTTTATTTTCCACCACATCGAATGTGTTCGACGACGGCAACTTGTTCGGTTCCGCTATGATGAATTTTTTCTGTGTTGACTGGGCATATAAACATTGCGGACTATACTTCAAATGCTCTCCCCATATATCGTCATCGGCCACCCATCGATCTACTGCTATTCCACAGAAAAAAACATTGGACTCTGTCTCCGGTTCCAGTATAAAAGAATCCCCGCAAGACCATTGGGTCGATTAGCTCTTTTAGAAGCATCGGCCATAATGCAAACGATTTGAGTCGAATCCCCTCCAGTGAATAGTACTTGATTGCAGGAGTTGGAGCAAAATTATCGCACTCCTCGATATCCAATTTTCGTAGTTGTTGGTTACTGGAAACACCTGATGATGTATCATCGTCCGAACTTCCAGGCGGTGATTGCAAGATTTGTGAAGGATCGTTGTCCGAACTCAGAGTCGGCGATGTTTCTAACGGAACGTTGTACACTCTCACAGGCGGCGATGTTTCTGGAAAGTTGAAATACCAAAAACCCCGCGTTTCCACATCACTCATATTGAAAAAGCTCGTTTTAATCGCGAACACGAATAATTGTTATACTGATAAAATGAACGGTTTATATAGGAAAGCCACGGAAGCTAATATTGATTACTCTTATTTATCAGGCCCATCCGTATATGATGGAACCAAGCTATGATAAGATGATTCGTCCATTCGAGCTGTTTGAAAAGTACAACAACATTAATTGGATACTGCACACGAAAACACTTTACTCGCATAGTAATACGGGCAACGCTACTATAAATGAAAGTGTAATTGTTCTAGACCTATCATTAAGCGAAACATTTTGGTTTCTTTACATTAAAGAGAGTATTGCTAAACTCGAATCGGACGAATTGGCAATTTTCATGTCAGAACTTGATCAGCTATCTTTTCGAACGCCCGTTCTATTCGATAAAGATATAAATCTCTTGGACCCTTTTTGTCAACGAACAGTAACATACAATCGGATTAGAGACTTTGAAACAGTTCGCTGATATGGCCGAGATCGATGAAACGGTGAAAGTGAACGATTTTGTAAGCCTTTTAAACGATTGGAAATGTGATAAACAACAACAGCAATTCGTTCAAAAACTACAACACATCCACGATAGAGAAATGAAAAAACGGGCCGTTAAGCTCGCGAAAGAGAAAGCCGCGTTGGAGCGTAAGGCACGACAAGAGGAAAAGCTGCGAATACAATTGGAGAAACTTCAACGGCTAGAACAAGAGCGTAAGGAACTACAAGAGAAAAAGCTGCGAATACAATTGGAGAAACGTCAACGGCTAGAACAAGAGCGTAAGGCACGACAAGAGGAAAAGCTGCGAATACAAGTGGAAAAACGTCAACGGCTAGAACGGAAAGAGAGCCTGATCAAACAGCGCGGATTAGTTAACGATACCATTAGCATGATGAATGGAAATTTTGGCGGACGTTTACCGGCCCTGATGACGCGAGACATGCCGTTAGCTAACAACTATTCATGGCTACCTAGCAGTTTACATTCGAAATTAGGTTCTTGCAAGTTTTCAATTCCTAACGTAATGGACGACACTACGTCAATATTCTACTTTCTCAAAGAGAGGGATTTGAATAGACCTAATATGTTTGTAGCCGCTAAAGGTAGTTTGGACAGGAGCCATTTTCGTTACAGTGTTATTGTGCACGGCTTGGTCTTGATGTTCGCCATTGTTATGCAAAGGGAGCGAATCATTTTTGTTGTGGACCGTGTACTAGATAGAGTATTGTTTGAAAACGACTTACTTTTAGCAAAATACATACAATCGAGATCAATGATCAAGGTGTTTGATAAATAAAATGTCGTACAAAAGTGTACAAAAAAATACACATGGGTTATTTTAATGATAACAGCTCATCTCGCTTAGCACTTTTTTCATAGGAAACAAGGTCGTTTTTGCAACTTTCCACAATCTGCACATTTTACAGCAACGACAGCGGCATCGACAACGACAAACGTTTCTTTTTTTCTTTCGCCGATGACCCAAGTTATTTATTTGCGTATCAACGTTTTCTTGGCCATCCTCAGATGGTTCATCGACATTGGTGTTCTCCGACTCTGTCGAATGGCTCGAGGACGGGACAGAAGTTACTGATTGATCATCGGCTGAGTTGTTTGTTTTTTCGCCAGCCACGATATCTGTAACTTCAACGTCAGACTTCATGTTTCTTAAAACTAAACGATGAAGAGAACCGAAAGATTGGTTTCATGTACAAATGAAAAACTTTAGGTAAAGGCATAATGTATTTGAGTTTGACATTTTACAAAAGTTTAGTTTGACATTTTACAAAAGTTTAGTTTGACATTTTACAAAAGTTTAATCATAGTATTATCTCTCTCGGTATAATTTGAGTTGAACGCTTGGATCCTATCACCGAGGTGGGGAATTTTGCTCAACAGTGTTCATGCTCAGCCAGGTAGCCGGTACAACGAGTTCATCGAAACTTTGATAACCGTGCCTTGGTTCGCCTAAACTGTAACTAGCTAAAAGACCTTTAACGTTAAACACGCACTGTTTGTAGCAAGCAATAATTTTCACATAACAAATGTTATAGTTGAAATTGCACCGTTCGAAGTTTTTGTCGAGTAAAATCGAACGTGGAAACACTCGCAGCCATAGATAGATGGCCAGAAGGAAAATCGGTTCTTCGTAAGAAATGGCAGGCTCAACTTCTCCGCATAAACGTGCGACTGGTAGCAAAAGGAAACGCTGACCACCATCAACTTTTTTGAGAAACGTCCAATAAGTTCCAGACGTTAATACGTCCCTTTCGGCCGTTTGTCTGTACGCCCAAGTTGTAATTGATTGCTTCCGTGTTTCGAATAACGATTTTTCTACACGAAAGAACGGTTCGCATTTGAAAATGTGTGCCATTTTATGCAGCAGGAACCATGACCAGCTGTCCTCTAATGGGTACGCCATCCTATCGAAATCCACAAGCAAAAGATCACTATATAACCGCACGAATTGAAATTTAGAAGGGAACCATTTTAAATGATTAGTAATTTTGTATAGAAAGGGGTATTGCTTGATTTTGTTCTCGGTCGCATTTTTGCACTCTATCACGAACGCTCCATCATTTACGACGATTCTGTTAGACGACGTCCTAGTCGAAATGTTTGCACTGTCTGAAGCCGACCACATGGTAGAAAGCCTAAATCGAGAGCAAGTGAGGAAACTTATATACGTCTATAAACGAAAGCAGACCAGAGATCGATTGAACAATCAGACGACACCGATACAACTTAGCACCAAATATAAATACCTAAATAGACATCATGTAATTATCCCTCCTCCGTTCACGTGGAACGAGAAGTTTGTTCAGTCCTTGGAGTATTTTTTGGCTACCGACGAGGATCGTATAGGAGCGCGAAATCGTTTCAAATCACCTCAGAAAAATTTCGAACGTTTAATGCAAGTGTGTACGAAGATTGGTTCGTGCAAAGCAAGCTTACAAGGAGGCCATAGTACAATACTAACGGTTGTCTCATTTCCATTGGATAACACTGCACGCGGTTACATTAAAGCCTCAACTCGTTCGCATCCGATGACATTACAAGTACCCATTACTATTGCAAAGCGAATTTTCAAGTTGTGGCATGTAAAAGTTAACGATATAATCGTTTTGCCCTCAACGACGCAATTGCTAATCAAACGAGATCCAGTTCTGTTTGAAGGCGGAATTCATTTAATACAACAACTCGAAATTATCAATGGTATGAGCTTTGGTGTATCGCCGTGGTTATTTGAAAGAATGCACATGGACGTGGATGGTGATACGGTGGTTTTGTTAATATTCAGCAGAATTGATAGCATGTATGGAATTAACCATGAATTCCGACAACCTCTTATGAGAAATCGTGAGCCGCGCATCGTCCCAACCCATTCTCATCTGCTAAGTATCGCTTCGATAATGTGCGAATCAGCATTCCACATCGATTATTTCCCCTGCAAAAGTGAAATGTATTCCGTCGTCATGAACAAACTACATGGCAACGAAAAACGGTTCGAATTATTCGGCGAGCCCTACGACGTGGTTTGGCTGGAATTTGTTGAAACGTATGTGTCCAAGGACGACGGTTTCCGCTTGAAAGATAGCATTCTGTATTTGATAAAGTTGTGCTGGCTACGAGGCTTGGACATAAATCCTCTAATTATGCGTATCAATGAGATAGGCTACAATCAACGCTCGTGCGTAATTGGCGCATCCTCCGATTGCCTTTTAACCAGGATGCTAACTTGGTTCCATATCAAAGGAAGCGAGATAAAAATGAACGAACAAATTCCAAGGATGAGGCATCGAATCAAGTCCGACTGTTTAGATTTCTTTAATAACTCAAGTCATTTATTGCACGTCATCGACGGTTCACAACACGCCCTATGTTATCGAACGCCCCATGTTATCGAACGCCCCTCAAAAAATAGACAAATGAATATAACCCAACATTTTAATGAAAGTTTCGGTCTGGAAGATTCGATTCCAGTATCATCCAGTTTTACACACTCAGCGCAACAAGTTCCGTGTCAATGCACTTCCTCCACGTGGTTAAAAACCAACACTGTTAATTGCTATAATTAATTTAATCGTAACATTGTACTGTTCGTCTTTGTTGATCTGTTTGTTTGCGGTAGTAAAAGTGTTTTGAGTTGGAATTAAAACGATTAAAAACTAACCGCGTTCGAGTTTTATTAAAACCACCCAAGGTCTATCTGGTCCACTCTATCGAAGGAACTCTAAAATCCCCACATAATATCTGGTCTCTTCTCACGGATTGTTGACTTGCAACCGATTAAAATTGATAGACAAAGTGGTTTTAAGAAACAATTCGGATACTTTTGACGTTGAAAATAGTACTTGTGTGCATTGACTCGTGAAAACAAAAAAGTGAACTCTCAGTAATCCAGTCTCCGCATTGTAGCAGACTGCAGGATCGCAGTCCTCGCGCTACGCCCCAGTGGCCTCGCGGCTCTAGTTTTGTGGCCCAATCCCGTGGCCTTGCAAATTGGAAATTGAAGATTACGGCACTCTGTCGCCTGGATTTCAAGGAAAATTTAAGGTCAGATCTTTCAATTTTATTTATGATGGTTATGGAAAGTCGTTCACTACAGAACTTCAAGAATTTCATCACACTGTGACTACTGTTTTTTTTGTAGTGGTTTTGTGCGTTTGTTTTGGTGTTCTATAGAATATTTTTGCACTCTCTGTGGCGAATACTTATTTGCAATTTAAAGGTGGGTTCTAACAGAAACTTAATTTAAATTAGCATTTAATGTAACATAATTTAAAAAGTTAACCGACCGGCATCTAATGATAGCGTTCATACAAAAAATGCAATTTAAGATTTAATGTAACGTAATGTAAAAGTTCGCCAACTTTTATCTTTTACGTTAAATTGCGTTACATTTCGATCTTCTGCGCAAACTCGTTTGTTTGGCGTATGACAAATGACAAATTGTTTACTGTTGAGTTTAGTTTGAAAAAAAAAACAAAACAAACAATTTGTATTGGATTAAACTGCATTTTAGTAAATATTCAGGCTCTTCGTGATTTGTGAGTGATTTTTTTTATAAATTTATAGCGTATTACATGACAAGGTATCTAAGCACGTTTTTTTACGCGCGATATGTTGTAAAAATTGTTTTTTAGATGCTTACTGAAGAAGAAACTTGGTTTATGTTTTTGCTAGGAGCTTCTGCCCTCACTTTGAGCATTGCCTTGAAAAGAAAACGAAGGTATAAAATTAGACCTATGAATAGAGAGAGGAATAAATACAGTGTTTATGAAAAAATTGTAAAATTTGCGGAAAGGGAGGACCATGAACAGTTTTTTAAATACACTCGAAGGAGTCCCCAAATGTTCAATCATCTGCTTAATTTGATTGAACCATATATAAGGAGGGACTTGTCAAAAGGACCTATATCACCTGGGCAGAGACTGGCTTTGACTTTGCAGTAAGTATTTTTTAAAGCCTTAAGTCAGCTTCTGATGCTAGCATTGCCTTTAGGATAGGTACTTCATAGAGGTTATAAAGTTGATTTCTAGTTATATAGCTTAGAATCTAAACTCAGATGCAACTTTACAACTAATTACATTCAAGGCCAGCCAATACAAAGTGTTTTAAGGGCAGTTTTGCATTCTAAAGCTAGATATTGGTGTTTTTATTTTAACAAACTTATTTACTTCTAGTTACCTATCGGAAGGATGTTCCATGCAAGAAATTGCCTGGAATAACCATATTGGCAAGAGCACTGCTCATTACATAATCAAGGAGACCTGTAAAGTATTATGGGAAGTTTTACAACCTTTGGTGTTGCCAAATCCTACATTAGAACATCTGGAAAATATTGCAAAAGAAAATTTTAAGAGATGGAATATGCCAAATTGCATAGGTTCCGTTGATGGAAAACACATTGAAATTCAATGTCCAAAGCAATCTGGATCAACATATTTTTCTTACAAAAAATCTTTTAGGTAAGCTTCAATTCTTACAGTACCTATATCTTACATTTTTCCACTCATGTTTCAATTAATCTTTCAAACGTCACCCATTTAAAACAAAATATTTTTTTAGCATGGTATTAATGGCTGTATGTGATTCATATTATCGCTTTACATATGTGGATATTGGAGCAGCAGGGGCCAATCACGACTCAGCAATTTTCAAAAATTCTGGCTATGGAAGTGCTTTACTAAATGGCACACTTCCCATTCCAGCTCCTGCACCGTTGCCTGGAACGGATACATTATTTCCTTATTTTTTTGCTGCTGACCAAGCATTTCCTTTACACGAAAACATTATGAGACCATATCCAGGAACGTATCTAGATGATTCTAAAAATATTTTTAATCTAAGGTTGTCTCGAGTAAGAAGGACTATTGAAAATTCGTTTGGTATATTGGCTCAAATGTGGAGACGGTTAAGAAGCACAATAATAGCTAGTGAGGAAATGTGTCAGTTAATTATCCAAGCTACAATTGTTCTTCACAATTACATACAAAAAGGAGAAGGAGATCTACCTGTTAAGGATAGAAAATACTGTCCCACAGGTTTTGTTGATTGGGTTGATAATAATGGAGTTCTTCACATGGGAAAATGGCGAAAAGATAAAAAATTAAGAAGTGTTGGCCGACTAGGTTCAAATAATGCTGCAACAAACGTAAAAAATTTACGGGAAACTCTTACAGATTATCTTTTGTCACCACTGGGAGCCCTTGAACATCAGTGGGATCAAATTAGCGCTGGGGGTGTTCCCGATAATTTTACTTTTACTGATTAGCATGTTACGGAAGAAATTTTTTTTTATAATTTCCAATAAATTTTTTTATTCTATCTATTCCTGTGTTATATTATTTAATGAGTTGATTTTTCCTTTTTATCTTACACATAAAGTTATTTCTTTAAAAAAAGTATTTCCTTATTAGGGATTTTTATTTAAAGTCTGATTTTTTTTAAAAGTTTTGTTGCTTTTTTTTAAGTTATTAACTTTTTAATTAAAAATAAAACAAAGGGTAAAGTATTGTTTAATTTCTGTTGTTTAATATTTCTTCAAAACATGTGTACATTTTTTTTTTAAATAATATTTTTTCTTCCGTGGTGAGTATTTTCATATCGTTTGCCAAAGAAATGGCAAAAGCCATCGACTCGTCATGTTCATGTGGTTCTGAACTTGTCATTTTTTTTTGAAAAATGTCGAAACAGTTGCCCATTTTGGCAAGCGCAGTCTCCTGGGCTGTTGCCTGCCTCTTAATAGGAATTGATCGAGGAATTGATTTTCTTATGCTCAATTTTTTTTTTGAAGGACCTGATTGATCATCGTCAGGCTCGGAAGTAGATTCGGCGGTACGTAACCTTTCTGTTCCAATTTTAGGCGTAACTCTGTTTCCTTGCTGCAACAGAGACTGTGACTCGAGCTGTGACTGCTCTGAATCTTCTCCCCCATCTATAATAACCGCCATGCTGTCCCACACACGAGGTTCTTTGCTTCTGCAGCTACTTTCTTCCTCTGTTAACATACTGACCTCCGTAGCGTCAGTCATAGAGGTCTGAGATTCCTCTTCCCACTGACTTTGGCTTTCCGAAGCTATAGGGTAGTTCGAAGTTGTTCTGGAAATGAATAATTTCTGCTAAATATTCAATAAAAAACAATTTTTTAAAGTTAAATTCATTTTAAACTGTAAAAACCTACTTTCTTGTTGTCAAATATGGATCCAAAAATCCCATTGAGTGGAAATGGGGCCAATTATTATGGAATGCTCCGGAGCCTGAAGGCATGGTGGTTATCTCACGCTTTATTTTTGTGTACCTATTTCTCAGTACAACCCACCGCTGCTCGCATACTTGGGCTACGAATTAGGACAAAATTAAATACATAATAACATTGCTGTGCAATGTAAACAAAAACTTACGCCTTTGTCCAAGAATGGCTCCAATTGTCTTCCAGGCATTTTCTTTAGCCCCTTTATTTTTAAATCGAGCGTCCCCCTTGTTATAGAGGGCAGAAAATCTGCCCACTTGCTCTATCAGGTCGGCGTCGTCCATTATTTAGTGTAGTAATCGCTAATCGCCGCTTTATTTTCTCGTTAAATTGATACAAATCAACACAACACAATACAAAATAAAATCTACCTACTGAAAAGGGCAAATAACAGCTGACATACTGACAAGTGAACTGTCGATAAATGCGCAAGCGCGAAGAAACGCATTTTATTGGTTAAAATATCAATCCTTGCCTTAAGTTAAATCTTTGTATGAACGTAACTAAATGAAATTAAATTATTTCTTAAATTAAATGCTAAATTAAATTAAATTATTTTCTGTTAGAACCCAGCTTAACTGACATTAATTAAAGTAGGAAGGAATAATATAGACTCTTTTCTCACAACTTTTTTATAAGATTCTTGCAATCTTTCTCGTTTTTCAAAAACAAAAAATTTCTTATTTCATTTAAAGCTAAAGCGTAGATACCTATTTCTTTCAATTTAAAATGTCTGAATTAGGAATTGATGTAGAAAGCCTCAAACGCAAAAGAGGCAGGCAAAAGGCTGTGATAACAAGAATTGAAAACTTTGTTCGACAAAATGTTGATGTTGCAAATATTGATGTTAATGATTTTGTTGTAAGGGAAGTGCAATTACACAAAGCTTATGCGTCATATCTAGAAGTACAAGATGATATTGAAGATGTTGACGAAACTCAATCTGCTGACAGAGATGAATTTGAAGGTAGATATTTCAATCTTGCAGCAAAGTTAAAATCTTTAATTCAAAGGTTTTCTCAGGTATCAATTAACTCGCCCATCCCACAACTTCTAGCCACACCGCCTCTAGCCTTGCCTAATGGCCCACCAATTAACCCTCATTCAATTCAAGTTAAGCTTCCTAGTTTAAATGTACCTACTTTTACAGGTAATTTCAAGGATTGGCCCGCTTTTAAAGATATTTTCTCTGCACTAATAGATTCAAATCAGAATCTCTCCCCTGTGCAAAAACTAATGTATTTGAAATCTGCTTTGAAAGGTGAACCATTGGACCTTGTGAATAGTTTGTTAATGACCAACGAAAATTATGCAGTAGCAAATGAAATGTTGAACAAGCGATATGACAAAAAACTTTTAATTATTAATTCATTGTTGCAGGGTCTATTGGACGTCCCACATATTTCCAAAAATAATTGCACAGCCTTGAGGCAATTCATAACTCAGGTTAACAAAAATCTAAAGTCATTAGAAGCATTACAGGTCGATATCGAGAATTGGGATTTGCTTTTAATTTATATTTTCTCTAAACATTTAGATGCTACAACAAGGCAAGACTTTGAACTAGAGCGAGAAACAGACGATTTGCCTACATTGGACGAATTTATGGATTTTTTAGAAAGAAAGTGCTCATCGTTAGAATCACTAACAGATAATTTCAATACTGAAAATAAGTATTCTCAAAAAGGTTCACGAGTTCATGTCGCTCAAGAAACTGACACAAATAAATATATAGGTTGTTTTTATTGTAAATTCAAAAACCATAAGATTTATAAATGCTCTAAATTTTTGAAAATGCCTGCTTCTCAAAGAAAACAGTTTGCTATGCAGAATAAATTGTGTTTTAACTGCCTCGGTAATAGGCACAATATGTCTCAGTGTCCCTCGTCAAATTGCAGGATTTGTTCTGCAAGACACCACTCTCTGTTGCACGAATCTCGAGAGAGTGGAAGTACAATGCATCAAGTGCATGAGCCTTCACCCAAACCACCTGGTAATAATGTACAACCGAGTGTACAACCCAGTGCACAACCCAGAAATCCCCATGGTAGGCCTCACTCTCAGGATGCAAATAAACATGTTGTAGTAGAGCACGCTGCGCTAGAGCTCTCTCAGGATAACGTCTCAGAAGACAATAATCCAAGCTCATGTCATTTGTCTCAAAGCTATTCTCAAATATTGCTTGCTACAGCAAAGGTGTTATTAGTTTCAGAAAATGGAACCAAAGTGCTTGCACGTGCGCTATTGGACTCCGCATCTCAAACGACTTTTATCACTTCACATATCGCACACCCCATTCAAAGCCGTAGTAAGTCAAAAATGTGAAATTTTACAGGATAAGCAAAATAAAATTTTGGAACATTGTTTTTTTCATTTTGCATTCAATATTAGGCTTAGATATTTCATGCTTTGGTTTTATTTCAATGAATATGCTCACAAAACCACACTCTAAAAAAAAATCCTCTATTTTTCCTAGAAGTCTCGAAAATGAACTTTGATTTGAGATGATACACTTTTCTCACAAAATATTTAAACCCTTTTTGTGTTGAGTTTTATAATTTCTTTATTTTTTATGCATAATATTGATGACTGAGAAGAAAATGCTACTACTTTCTTAAATAATATGAGAAATAATATAAATTTCTTGAAACAAAACAAATAAATTTCTAAAAAAAACGTAAAAAAATAAAATCTTGAATTCTAACTACTAATTTAATACCAATTAGTTATTGATTAACAAAGAATAAGTAATTGAACCAACAGTCAACTAACATAACTAAAATAATGATTCATAAAAGCCTTTGTAATAGTTTGGTATAAAATTTTTTTCCAATAGAAATTTCAAATCTTTTTTCTTATTTTCATTAATTGTAAGCTTGGATTTGTAAGCTTTATTCAGAGTTGGCAAGGTGTTCAACCGAGTGCTTGCAGATTCTGATCGTCTGGTAGTTTTTTTCACCATTGCATTTCCACGAACATCCACCGATTTCCATTCCTCCGATTCTGTATACGACATTTTGTAAAAAAACAGAAATGGCTGGTTTTTCTCAACTCTCACAATTCGAAGGTTACTAATAAAGACTTGCTCTCCCTTGGTATTCACATTAAAATTTATCCCAGTATCAGCCATAAGCTGCTTCACATCGACAAAATCATCGTGTGATAATTCTTTCACAAAATATGGGGATCCTTTTTTCTTTGCTACTCTTATCAACATTACAAACTGATCAGGAACAAAGATAGGTCCTGATTTTAATGCTCTGGTCACCTGAAATGTATAAACAAATGAAAGCTGATGGAATAGCAGCATCCCCAGCATGAATAAAATAAGCCTCTTTTGTCGCACGATGTCATTCGGTGATAGCTTTGATAGGTGCTTATGGCGTTCTACATTGGGCGGGTAGAATATTTTTTTGTTGCCGAATGATGTTATGCAATGAAGTCAGCTTATCTTATGAAATTTTTATAAGTAGAGAAAAGCTGCGAGAAACTAAAAATTATTTAACTAAATGATTGATGAGAAAAAATTGAACTACCTGTTTTTCAATTACAGAATGGGTGGCATCTCCCTCGTTTTGTGTATGTCCAACAATGAGGTATTTGTGGGTGACTGCCTTAATTTTATATTTCTGTACCGCATACATAAGAAGTGCTATCAAGTATCTGGAACAAATTGAATAAATCTTATACTATCACCTAGATTATTGAATGAATGTCTTTGTTTACCTATTTTTTTGTTGTGCTCCACAATTGTCGCTGTAAAGAACTATTTCTAATTCTTCACTGTCGCATTTGCTTGCTTTTTCTTCTAAGTATTTCAAGATGCAAGACCCTACTTCTGTGGCCCCTTTTCCTCCTTCTCCTTCATGCCAAACATAGCACCAGGTTGCATCATTCCCAATTTCAGTAACTGACAAGTTCATTGTGTTGAGTTTTGATTTATAATAAAAAATTGAGATGTCCCCCTTAGGAATTGGTAGGACAGCTTGCATGTCAAAGCAAGCCACAATAAAGTTTTGATTTACTTTGGCTTTATCTTCTTCCTTATCCTTTCTCGATAATACTTTTTCCTTTAAATGTTCATCATACTGCAACTTCAAGTTTTCTTTGCCTTCTTCATCAGCGGTATTGTATTGAAAACAAAGACTACATTGGTCCTTTTTGGGAATAAAAAAGGAAATGTTAAATTCTGTGTTGAAAATATCTGCGTACATGTGATAATTTACTGTCGCCTTGCCTTCAGCCTCACATGCAAGTTTGTAGTCTCTATAGAGGTCAGCAATGGTTTTGCTACCATCAATAAATTCTCTCGATGTCTGTGCCCGCAGATAATGGCTTTCAATTCTTGGAATTGATTGAATATGATTTCTGACATCATTCTTCAAATTATCGCTTATTTTTTTATGGTTTTTATGTTTTCCCCTTCCATCTGCACTAACAACGCCCGATGGCAAAGTTTTATCTCTCACTGTAAGTACTGTCCTATCATTTATATCAAGAGTATTTTTAAAAAATTTCTTGCAAACCCTCAGTTTTTTGCCATCAGAGGTTCTGAAATAAAAAGCAAAATTGAGTCTTCGGTTACTGGCAGCTCTAACATAACGATATTTTGGTGTAATTAATTCCATATGCTTTGATAAGAAATCACGCTTTCTATCAATATTCTCGAGGCTGTAATAAGCATTGAATAGTTGTAAACGTTGTTCCCTGTCAAATTTTTTAGAACACTGGTGTTGGCATTTTTCACCACAAGACTCTTTTACTTGTTTAGCAGAGACGACTCTTTTCGATTTTGCTGATGAAATGTACTCCTTGCCGGAATTTCTTAATCTCTTTATCTTGTTTTTGTTCCACTCATTTTCGTTTCGCAATCTTTTCCTACATTTCTTTCCATTTGTAGCATTATTTTCCAAGTCTTCATGTACTTCTTCAGTGTTTCTTGTCGCAACTATTTCCCTCAAGACTTCTCGACCAATTTCTTCATCAGATGACGAAGAAGAAGAAGAAGAAGAAGAAGAAGAATCTGAACTTGAGCTACTCGAACTTGAAGAACTTTCAAAATTGGGATCTTTAATACTATCGTCATCATCTTCGCTTTCAGTTCCACTTTCATTTGGTTTTGCAGTCCTATTTTTTAAGGTGCTAGTCTCAGTCTTCCTTCGAGTGTTGGGATCTTTAACACTATCGTCATCATCTTCGCTTTCAGTTTCACTTTCATTTGGGTTTGCAGTCATAGTTTTTAAGATGTTAGTCTCAGACGTTCTTGGAGTGCGTAAATTTGAAG